GGGATGACCTTTGCATACTTCCATCTCATGTCATCCTTAAAGGACAACTTCCTGGTGGGGAGTGTTGGCTGGGGTCACCCAGTGTGGAATCATCAGTGTCTCTGAATGCTTGTGCTCTATTTCTCCTCCTAGTGGAACTCACCTTTACTCCTCAACATGCAGATGGAGCTGGCTCCCCACCAGCCTTCAGGGGTGGATCTGCAACCCAGGCCTGACCAATCAGAGCATTCTAGCCCCCTGGCCACAGTGATTGGCTCCTGGGTGGTCACGTGACACACAGTGAACTATTAAAGTCTTCTGTGGTACTTCTGCTGGAGCCATGAGGGCACCTGGAGCCCCACCTGCTTTAGAGTGGTAAAGAAAGAACTCATCAGGCCTGGGTTGTCCAAACTATGCACATTTAAAGGACTGGCCCTTGACTGGCACCTGGGAGGTCACCTCTAGACTCTTGGAATGTCTTGACTGGTACAAATGTTTACCTGAGGTCGTGGGCCACACCAGATAGTCCATGCTAACAATATGATTTAGGGTGGGGGCTTTTGGCCACATGGTATCAGTTCAACCTCTGGATGGGCTGGAGACTGAATTTCATCACATGGGTGGTCAGCCATATCTGCATGACTGACCCCCTCCTCCCCAACAAAAACCCTGGACAAGGCTCAGGTGAGCTTCCCTGGATGGCAGTATTCCATGTGTGTTGTCACAGTCATTGCTGGGAAAATTCAGTGCTGTCTGCAACCAGAAGCTTGTGCCTGGTTTCTCCTGGTTTCTGCCTTATTACCCTTTTCCTTTGCTGATCCTTATCCTTTTTCTGTGATCAACCATAGTCACGAATGTAACAGCTTTTCTGAGTTCTCCTAGTGAATTATCAAACCTGAGGGCGGTCTTGGGGATCCCTGACAACAGATGTCTTTACCCCCATCCTGAGAAGAGCTGTGAGCGCCCCCCTACCCATTGCACAAATGAGTCCTGAGGCCCCAAAAGGTAGACTTGCTGGCTCTGAGGTGCCCAGCTAAGGGAGCACCGGAGCAGGCTGCTTGCTGGCCACCCCACCACGCAAAGGGGCCAGCTCCAAACTGAGTGTTCTCATGGATCATCACGTTCCCTTTGCTGCAAAACTGTTTGCTTCAAAATCCCAAAGGTCCATTTGCTCTGACCTAGCATCTCAAGTTTCAGGAAGTTCTGGGACAGATGTGCAGAGATGTGTCTCTAAGGGCTGTGCATTGCAGAAGTTTTAAGGCGTTTCTAAGATTTCTCATCCTGTGTCATCCCAGGTCTGGGAATGTGGTAGACCTCACTTCCATGATTGTGTTGTTATTGGGCACAGCTTACCTTAAGATAATCTGGGTGGGCCTGACCCTGCTGGTTGTAGAAGAGGAAGTCAGAGGGATTCAACATGAGGGAGGTCTCTATTGCCGAGATGGAGGGGGCCACGTGGCCAGCGCCTGAGAGTGGCCCCCAGCTGACAGCAGGGACCTCAGTCCTACAACCACCAAAAAATGAGTTCTGCCAACAACCTGAAGGAATTTGAACACAGATCCTTCTCCAGTTGAGCCTCTGGATGAGGACACAGCCAGGCCAATACCTTGATTACAGCCTCATGAGACCCTGAGCAGAGAACCAGTTAAAACATACTAGACTTACGACTCACAGAAACTGTGAGATAATAGATGTTCCTTATATTAAGTCACTAAGTTTGAGATACTTTGTTACACAGCAATAGGCAGCAATAGCAAACTAATGAATAGTGGGTGTTCATCCCAGTGTGGTTTAAAAACCCACAAACTGCAAACAACATAAATGTCTAATGGAAAGAGGTTATGTACATAAACTTTTGTAAACCCATTAATAATAATAACAATTTTCGTGACGATGCCATTTGCCTTTGGTCTAGGGCCAGGCTCTTGGGTAAGTGCTGTTATTATCCCTATTTTATGGATGAGCAAAATGAGGAACAGAGAGGGTGAGACACATCCAAGGCTACAAGGGGTGAGGGTCCGGCTAGGGTCACTGTTCCCATCACAGAGCTATACCTTTTTCAATGGGCTTACTAGGTGGAATGTATGTTGAGAGGCTACCCGAGGTGATCAACTGGCTTCCAATTTCTTGGGTGACCTAGTTCTTAAAGGCTTTTGGAGAGCATGCCAATGCCTGATGATTTCCTCCATTATCGTTTCAGGGGTCCTGTTGGGAGCCACTGGGGCATTAAGTGTAAAGTGGAAAAAAATCAATACTTGTTACCAAGCACTACAGCCCATGGTTGCAGTGTTCCTAAGTCTTTTAGCTTCTCTAAGTGCTCAGTTTCCTCATCTGGCAGATGGGACCAAGCCACTGTATCCACCCCAAAAGGCAGTTGTGGGTGCCAGACACTGAGCACAGAGCCTCGTGTGTTTTAAACACTCTACATGGGGTGACTGTTAGTAGTACTGTTGTCTGTTTCTCAGATGAATCCACTTACATTCAGAGAGGGGAAGTGCCTTTCCCAATGTCACACAGCAAGCTGGTCAGCACTTAGAGCTGGCTCCTCCCATGTTCTACTCCATTCAGCAGTCTGGCTGTCTCTCCCCTCCCCATCCTCTTAACTCCAGACTGCCTGCTCCACAGCTACCCTTCTTGCCCTTCTGTGGCTCTTCTAGGGGCAGTGCAGCCAGTATTTTCCTGGCCCAGCCTCCGGATACGCAGTTGGGCACAGCAGTGGGTAAATAGGTCAGCGTGTCTGAGCAAGTGCTGGCATCTTGGTGGTAGGATGGACTGATCCCAGGTGAAGGGTGGAGGATCCCAGAGCTTTGGCCCTGAGCTCAGACAGGCTGGAGTTGGAATCTCTGCAGCAGTATGTAAGACCTTCCAGATTCTCCGAGCCTCGCTCTCCTCATCCCTGAAATGGGCTGATAGCTGTGTTGTGAGGATTAAATGAGATCATTTATTAATTCAACACATATTTCCTGAGCATCTACTCTGCGCTAGGCCCTGTGCTGGGGTTGTTCAATGAGGAAATACAGAAAGGGACCCAGGTACCAGAGGCAGGATGAAGGGTAATCAGGAGGGCTCTGGATCAGAAAGATCCAAGTTCAAAGTTCCAAGCAGCCCATTCACTGGTAGGGTGAATATCGTCACATGCTGCCTAACCCTTTTGAGCCTCAGTTTCTCCGTTTGTAAATGGAGATATTAATGACAGGCATGGAAAAAGGTTTCACAGAATCTAGCATTGCCTTTAGGGTCAGCAGGTCATGATCGGGGGTAAAGAGATGGTAGTGCCAGCCTGGCACTGGTGGGCAGAACTAATGAGACCACCTGGGTAGAGACATACACCTTCAACTTCCTCTCTTGCCTCAAAATATTCATTCTATGACCACCATAAATTAGATTCAAGCGAGAAGGAAAACAACTCAGGAACTTTTTGCAGGTCGGAAGACCCAGGAGCCCAGGAGGAGCTTTCCTGGCAAAGCCAGAGCTGGTCCTCAGCTTTAGTTTCCCCACATGTAAAACAAGAAATTGATAAGATGGCACAGTTCCCGTGAAAAACAGTTTGGCAGTTTCTCAGAACGTTAAACATAGAATTACCATATGACTTAGCAATTTCATTCCCAGGTATAGACCCAAGAGAAGGGAAAACATCTGCCCACACAAAACCATGTACATAAATGTTCACAGCAGCACTATTCGTAATAGTGAGAAAGTGGAAACAACCCACATGTCCATCAATGGATGAATGGATAAACAAAATGTGGTTTATCCACACAATGGAATAGTATTCAGTCATAAAAAGGGATGAAGCATTGATACAGGTAACAGCATGGACTAACCTGGAAGCCATCATGCTGAGTGAAAGAAGCCAGTCACAGAAGGTCACATATTGTATGATTCCATTAATACAAAATGTCTAGAAAAAGCAAATTCATAGATAAAGTAGCTTAGTGGTTGCTAGGGGCTGGGGAGGGGGGTGAGGAATAACCTGCTTAGTGGGTATGGGGTTTCCTTTAGGGGTGATGAAAATGTTCTGGAACTAGATAGTGGTAGTGACTGCACAGCACGGTGAATGTACTAAATGCCACAGTATTGTACACTTTAAATGGGTTAATTTTATATGTGAAATGTTTTTTTTAATAGGAGAACTGGACAACCACCATCTCTCAGGGCCCGTGGGGATGTAGGATTTTATTCTGTTAAAAGTCTGATCTTGGGACTTCCATGGTGGTCCAGTGGGTAAGACTCCGCGCTCCCAGTGCAGGGGGCCCTGGTTCGATCCCTGGTGGGGGAACTAGATCCCACACGCATGCCGCAACTAAGACCCAGCGCAGCCAAAATAAATAAATAAATATTAAAAAAAGAAAAAAGTCTAGTCTTATTGCGAGCAAAGTTTACCAGCCCCCACAATTCCCCAACAACCTCAGGGAAGCCCCACCCAGCGTCCAACGCGCGCTCGGTTTGCATAGTCACGCCCACCCACCCAGCCTGCCGCTGGTTCCGCCCCCCCACCCCCACGTGTTTTGCGCTGGCCTGGCCCACTCCGCGCCCTCGTTGGGGCTCTCAACAGAAGCCAAAGGCGGAAGACTCGGAGAGACTGCATAAGTAATACATCACGTCAGCGGTTTGTGGGGCGGGGCTTCGACGGGCCTGGTTGTCAGGGTCATGAATAATACACATTGAGGCGGGGCCTGAAGGTGGGCGCGTGTAGGGGCGGAGTCCGGGCACGAAAGTGGACACCTCTAGAGTCTTGAGAGGTGGGGCCATCCGCGCCTTATGAATATGCATAAGTCGGGGCGGTGACTGTGGGCCTCACTAGGCCCGCAGGGTGGCGCGGCCAGCTGCGTCTCACGAATAATGCAGCACGTCGGCGGGGGGTGCGGCGGCGATTGTGGCTCTCGCTGGATCCGGAGGGGGCGTGGCCAGTCGCGTCTCATGAATAATGCAGCGCGTCAGCGGGCGGCGGGGTGGGGCGTGGCCGGCGCGCCTCCGGCCCGGGAGCCGGGAAGGGGGGGCGGGGGAGCAATGGTCGCAAGATGGCGGCGCTGAAGGAGGCTCGGAGCTACGGGCTGTCGTGCGGGCGAGTGAGCGACGGCAGCAAGGTGTCTGTGTTCCATGTGAAGCTCACTGACAGTGCCCTGAGGGCCTTCGAGAGCTACCGCGCCAACCAGGTGAGCGGCACGGGGCTTGGCGCGGCCGTCGGGGACGTCGGGGCGCAGGTCGGCCTCGCGCGTCCCTCTCCGTGGCGTCCTTGCCTGGGGGCTCGGGGTCCGGCGTCTGAGGTGCTGCTCGCGGGTTCCTGGGCCGGTGGGGCGCGGGGTGGGCGCCTGTCCGGCTCGGAGCGCGGGGAGCCTCGGCGCGGGGAGACGACCCTGGCGGGTGGCCCAGGGCGGCCGAGGGGCCCGAACTCGCGCGCCTGGGCCGGGGGACGTCTGTGTCGGCACCTGGAGGCGTCCGGGGCTTTTCCCGACTTACTCGGCACCTGGGCAGGAACTCGATTTTTCACCTGACCAGGGGAGGGGGTGGAGGCAGCGCCGTCCGAGCACGGGAGGTGGGGGTTTGGGACTTCTCAGTCTGGCTCCTGGCAGGGTGGCTGGTAGGGATGGCTGACTGCACTCCTGGGGAGCAGCTTTTCCGTCTAGGACGCTGGCAGGGTGGGTCAGTGGGGCACCGCTGTCGGGGCATCTGTGGGGTCCTGTTCCGTGTTTGCGGAGGTTGTGTCTACACTTGGGGGCCGTCTTTGATGCTTTCCAGTGAGGCCTCTGGAGTTGGGTTCACTCTTGGTTCTTGTGGAGGGGAGTTTGGGCAGAACCTGACAGCTTGTCCCCAACTCCCTAGGTGAACCTGAATCACTGGACACCTTTAGAAAGTGGGAGTGTTTTGGGGAGGGAATTGCTGGCATGGTGCCTCTCCCAAGCTGGGAGCCTGTTGTGGGCACCTGGGGAGGAGCTCTGGCCACTGCACCTGGCTGCTGACTCTCAAACTTCTCAGGGGCCGATTTGGGCCCATCTCGGAAAGTTCGAGGCGTTTCAGTTCTGCCACCTGGCCCGGGGGGTTGGGGAGAGGCTTCTTTCTACCGTCTTTCAGGCCTGACTTTGGGGCACATCTGGGGCCGTGGTCAGAAAACGCTTCTTCCCATTTCTGTTTGTGTCATGGCGTCCTCCTCCTGTGTTGGGACAGAAGTTGCAGGTGCCCAGTGGTCAGGTCCTGAGGCGAGGTGGTTTGGGAGCCCTTTTCCTCCTTTCCGGGAAAGTGGGGGCTTCATAGTCAGTGGCTGTAGGGGGAGGGGTCTGGCATCAGGTTCAGGGAGGTCCTGCCGTGTGCGTGTGTGTGCGCGCGCGCGTGTACTGGGGATGGGGGGGCCTCGGGCGGGTGAGGAGAGAGACTAACTAGGAAGGAATGTGGCTTTCTTCCTGCCCTGGACTTGTTCGGCACCATTAGCTAAGCTGGGAATTTCTTCCCCTGTTTTGTTCCCAGTGCCCCCCCTTCCCGCTCTCCTTCCCACTTTTTCGGACAGTTTCCTTCCTGTCCTCGTGTCTCAGTTTCCGCTTCCTAGAACCGGGATTTCATCTTTCTGGAAGAGTGAGTTCTCACCTTGTCAAAAGGGATTCCCCAAGGTGAGGCTGGGGAGCCACTGCAGGTGAGGAGGAGGGGGCACGGTGGCCAGCTTGAACCTCCCTTCCTTGTGGAATTCCAGCCGGGAGTCTTTTTCCCTCGGCAATTCTGACTTGTTTCCCTGGAAGGCAGGGTTTCCTAGAAACAGCTGGGGGAGAGCTTACGCGTCATGTAAATAAGGTGAGCTTGGTACCTGGTCACTGTGAGTTCGGAGCCCCGCCTTCCCTGCCATGCTGCCCTCCCTTGATCTAGTTGTCCGGAAGGCCCGCCTGTGTGTCCACCTTGTGCTGTCACGCTGCTATTTTTAATTTTGGGTGTTGTTTACATCGCCTAAGCTGGATCTTACTCCTGTGAGGGTGAAGGTATAACTGTAGACTCAAGTTCGTCCCACGGAGAGCCCAGCTGTGTATGTCTGTGTTGATCAGCCGGAAAGGGCTCCCTCAAAGAGCTTCTCCTTCTCAAGCTACTCGTGTTAACTTGGCTGGCTGGGCTAAATTTTGGGGGTGACTCAAACTTTCATTTTTCTCAGAGGCTGACTTGTGATTTAAGTTACTTGGCAGTTTTGTATTTAATCTTATCCAGTGGGCAATGTAGTGGACTGAAGTAAAATCAGGGCGGCTTGGGCACACTCAGTGTTCCCGGGTGGTGGGCGTGGGGAAGGCGACTTGAAGAACTTGTTTGTGTGACTAGTGAAGTGTATTGGTTATTAACAAAACCTCATATGTTTGACTGTCAGTAGCATCTAGAGTTTTCTATTCTCTAGCGCTGTGGTTATATGGTTTGCCAGTGGCAACTTGTGGGGAGGGTTTTTACTTTTACTTTTTACAGTTGCCCTTGAACAACACAGGTTTGAACTGCCCGGGTCCACTTGTATGTGGATTTTTTTTCACTAAACACATACTACAGTACTAGGGGACCCACGGTTGGTTGAATCTGCAGATTCAGCACTCAGGATATGGAGGGCCGACTGTAAAGTTTATAAGGGATTTTTGACTGCTCAGGGATTGGTGCCCCTAACCCCCGTGTTGTTCAAGGGGCAACTGTAATTGCAAAGAGGTTTTTACAGACTCAGATGTGGCAGGGGCCTGGAGAGGAGCATCCTTCAAAACTTTCTCTGTGGCTCCTGGGAGCCTAGCTGTTGGAGTAGCCAGAGAAGTCCCTGACAGCTTCCCTCTGCAGAGAGGTCTGGAGTCTGAGCTGCCTTTGTACAGACCTAGTGACCAGCCTGGAACATGGTGGAAGGTAAAGATGTAGTCATATGTGCAGCTGCCACCGTCCAGACTTGGGCTTCACGCAGTCTTGAGTGCATCCCAAGGCACTCCCATGGATCTCCCTTTTCACTGTGATGGGTTTCTTCCGGGAGAGAAGAGAAGGGAAGCGTAAACACAACCCATCTTTCCAAGACAGCATCATGCGCCTGTTCAGAGAAGTGTCCCTGACAGTGATTGTACGGAAGTGACCTTCCCTGGGGCACCTCCCTCGACCACCTGAGTATTTCATCCTCGGATTTGGTGGGCTCTGTTGCTGAGTGATCCTCCCCCTCCCCAGATTAAAAGGTCTTTGATGAAGAGTAGCATATTGTTGTTCAGGAAAAATGGAGGGCTCAGGGAGGGGCCCAAGCAACCTGGGAATTGGAGCCTATCTGGGTTTGAATCTCTGAATCTCGGCTTTACCTGCATTAGGCCTTGGGTCAGTGCCTGACCTCTCCCAGTCCAGGTCCTCCTCCTCAGAGCTATGAGGATCCCAGTGGCTGCTCTGGATCCTTTATCTCTTTAGGATTATGAGTGTCCCAGTACCTGACCCCTCCCAGCTCCAGATCCTTCTCTCCAGACTCAGGGCCCTGCCCTCTCTGAGCTCTGGCTCCTCCTCTCAGGGCTGTTGGGATTCCTTTGGCACATGTGCGGCCCTCAGTGCAGCCCTGATCCCTCCCAGGTTCTCAGCACTTGGTGTCAGTACCCAGGGCTGGTTCCCACCTGGAGGTTTGAGCAGAGACTATGGGAGAGCCTGGGCTCCTACATTTCCCCAAATCTGATTGAGCGCCGTGGTCTGTACAGGGACACTGCTCAGGGGCTGGACATTTATAAGTGACCAAATGAGTCCCCAGTCTCTCGAGCTGGCATTCTAGAGGCAGGAGACAGATGATGAACAGGGTGGCACAGAAATCAGCATGAAGAGCTTGTCAGCAGTCATTGTCTGGAAGGAAATAAAATGGGGCAACGTGAAAGGGCGCTGCCTAGGAGATGCCAGAGCTGAGGTCTGCTGGGCGAGGGGTCCCCTGGGGGGGAAGGGGTGTGAGCTCCAGGCATGGCACATGTATAGGCCTTGAGACATGAGGGGCTGGGGAGGGTGTTTGGGCAGGGGGCAAGGCCCAGGTAGAGACGTGGAGGCAGCTGCAGGGCTCTGTCCTGGGACGGGCTTAGGAAGAGGAGGTCTGCAACAATACTCTGTGAGTGTTCTGGACCCACGCTAGGGGCTGCTTGCCTGCTGCTAAGGGGCTAGCTGCGTGGGTGTCAGCCTGGCCACTGGTGGCAGGAGGAGCCTTAATTTAGCCTCTACTCCCCTCCCACTGTGAGGCCCCAGGAGGTGGGTTTGTCTCTCCTTCCTGGGGGGCCGCCCCACTCGGCCCTAACTAGGTCGCTTCTTGCCAGCCCTGTCTGTTTTTCATATGAGCTGTCTTTATTTTTTTAATTTTTTTGGCTGCGTTGGGTCTTCGTTGCTGCACACAGGCTTTCTCTAGTTGTGGCGAGCAGAGCCTACTCTTCGTTGCGATGCATGGGCTTCTCATTGCGGTGCCTTCTCTTGTTGCAGAGCACGGTCTCTAGAGCGCAGGCTCAGTAGTTGTGGCGCATGGGCTTAGTTGCTCCGCGGCATGTGGGATCTTCCCGGACCAGGGCTCGAACCTGTGTCCCCTGCATTGGCAGGCGATTCTTAACCACTGCGCTACCAGGGAAGTCCCTGAGCTGTCTTCAGGAATAGCTAAATTCGCTGCCCCTCCTGGCCTCTGGCCAGGCCCCTGTAAGCCCTCTGTCCAGGCACATGTCATCTTCTTAACAGTTTTGGCAGGAAGGCTAGCTTATTGTTCCCACTGTTCATTGGGGGCAGTTGAGGCTCTGAGGGGCAGTGTTGCCTGCCTGAGGTCACGCTGACTGTCCTCACTGGCCCAGGCTGCCTCTCCAGTTGGGCGGGAGTTTGAGCCACAGCTATGAAAGGGAGTCCCACTGTGGTCTCAAGTCCTCATGACATGCCAGCATCCCAGGGTCCCGAGAACATTGGTGACATGAGTGGCCATGCAAATTCCTGAAGTTGCCAGCTTTGACTGTACCGTGCCCTCTCCCCTGAGAAAGCTTGCAGATGATAACCAGTGCCTGTGGATTGTGCCCTGCATGCCAGCGCTGGCCTGATCTGTACATGTTACTTCATCTTGTCCCCTGGCTGTCAGCCCTGTGGTGGGGAGCGGTTCTCAATTCTCAGGTGAGGAAACAGGTAAAGACTCTGGGAGGCCGAGTCACCAGAAGGAGTCTCCCAGCTGGGATGGGGCTGAGAACTGGGCATCTGG